TCTGCTGCCGGCTTCCTCGCTGGCTTTGCTGCTGGCTCTCACGCCGGTCCTGCTGCCGGTTCTTTCACCGGCTTCCCTGCCGACTCTGCTGTTGGCGCCGCTGCCGGCACGTCCGCGAGCTCCGCCTCTGCTGTCCCGGGCTGCCCGATGCATCGGCTGCACTTCTCGGGGTGTGGGCTTCCCCATTGAGCCTCTGCTCACCAGCCCTCCTTCTGTGCCTCCTGGGCTGAACTTTATTCCCACTGGGTGGCATCTCTCACTGACGTCACCCGGCCACAGCTGAATGTGAGCGCGGCTAATGAAACATGTGGGCGGTTTCCCGGTGTGCGCTCCTCTGCTACCTCCAGCTCCTGTGAGGGGTAAGTATGGGCTTTCTTTCCCTTTGGTTTTGGCCCAGGGTTTCCCCATAGCCCAGGTGTCCCTGGGACACAAGTCATGCCTGACCAACCTGATTGCCTTCTATGATGAGATGACTAGCTCTGTGGATATGGGGAGAACAGTGGACATGATATACCTTGACTTTAGCAAGGCTTTTGATATGGTCTCCCACAACACTCTTGCAAACAAGCTAAGGAAATATGACTTGGATGCATGGACTATAAAGTGGATAAAAACTGGCTGGATTGTCAGGCTCAAAGGGTAGTAATCAATGGCTTGATGTCTAGTTGGCAGCTGGTATCAAGTGGAGTGTCCCAGGAGCTGATTTTATTCAACATTTTCATCAGTGACCTGGATGATGGGATGGAGCGCATCCTTAGCAATTTTGTAGATGATGCCAAGCTGAGGGGAGTAGTAGATATGCTGGAGGGGTAGGGCTTAGGATTCAAAGAGACCTATACAAAGTGGAGGATTGGACCAAAAGAAATGTCACGAGTTTCAATAAGGACAAATACAAAGTCCTGCACTTAGGACAGAACAATCCCATGTACTGGTACAGGGTGTGGATTAACTGCCTAAACAGCAGCTCTGCAGAAAAGGAGCTGGGTGTCACAGTGGACAATAAGATGAATATGAGCCAGTGGTGTACTCTTCTTGCAAAGAAGGCTAACAGCACACTGGGCTACCTTAGGAGTGTTGCCAGCAGATTGAGGAAGTGATTCTTCTCCTCTTTTCGGCACTGGTGAGGTCACATCTGGAGTACTGTGTTCAGTTTTGGGCCCCCTGCTACAGAAGGGATGTGGATAAATTGGAGAGAGTCCAGTGGAGGGTGACAAAAATGGTTAGGGGGCTGGAGCACATGACTTGTGTGGAGAAGCTGAGGGAACTGGTCTTATTTAGTGTGGAGAAGAGAAGACTGAGGTGGTATTTAATAGCAGTCTTCAGCTGCTTGAAGGGTAGTTCCAAAAAGAATGGAAATAGACTGTTCTCAGTGGTGGCAGATGGCAGAAGAAGCAGCAATGGTCTCAAGTTTCAGCAAGGGAAGTTTAGTTTCTATATTAGGAAAAACTCTCCCTATAGGAGGGTAGTAAAGTACTGGAAAAGGTTAACCCGAGTGGTTGTGGAATGTCTCTTTCAACCTCCTGATGTCCCTTTCAACCATAATTTTCTACGATTCTATGATAGGTAGGTGCCAAAGTGATAGATAAAACCGTGTTTATGGAGAACCTGTGATAGAACTTGCAGCAGTTTCTAAAAAAGTAAAATGCATCAATTCTGGGTGAACTAAATCTATAGATACTGTATGCAAATTTTCGCAGCTATGTTTATTTCAAGGTCATTTTTTTCCAATTTGTTCCCCATTTCCACGTGCTCAGGGAGAACAGAGTCTGACAGTAGGGCAGAGGGAAAAGGTCTGTAGGGGAAAGAAGTTGGGGGCTGGGGGACAAAGACCACCCAGATTTTTTTTCCCTGCTGTAATGGGGAAGGGGACACATTCAAGACAAACCTCCAATAGTTAGATTCTATAGAGTAACTGCTGAGGTGGACTGTGCTCAATGGGCACTACCATATATCTTATTCAGATTGACTGCACTGTTCGCATCAGCAGGTTTGTCTAATATGGACCATACATTTTATAGTTATGCTCAGTGTTGGCTGCATTTAATCAACATCATAGCTGGTTTCCATTACTGATCACATGCTGCTTTTAGCAGCAGTTCAAGGATAGACAATGCATCTATGTGGTTTAATGTGGTTTACTTGTATGCAAATATAAGACAAAGGGCATTTTTCCCCATGCTGAAGCAGGGGCGGGGGGGACCGGACACCTTGCCTTGCATTTGAGTAAATAAAGTATTTAAAGTATAAACAAGATTATATAAAAAAAAAATGTGTTAGTCATAGGCAAGTGGATTAAATTCTAATGCATATGAACTACATGAAAATTTGAAATACAATAGATCTATTTAATTGCTGGAAAGGTTCTATCAGAAAAAAATATTTCAGTTTTAGAAGGGATTTTATTTAAGTTAAATAGTTTAGTTCAGACATAGTATAGTTCTCTCTTTTTTCAGTGAATATTTTTTTATCTGCAATGTAATGACTGGATAAGGAGATAGAGAGAGATTCATATAAAATTTCATAATTGGAAAACTGAACATCCATTTCTTTAAAACATTTTAATTTTCAATGATCAACATGGATAATAGAATTGTCAGGTTCTATATTTTGGTCTGATTTTAATTTTTTTAATGTATGTATTAATTTCATATTTATATATTTAGATGACTGAAGAGTTATGTGGCAAGGCATGGAACTTTCACACCAGAAACTTAAAGAATATGTGCTTTCAGTAAGTGTGTATGCTATATTAAGTATGTATACTGTATATACAAAATAATTTAGTGAATTTTAAAGAAAAATCCTCTGTAGCAGAAGTGTTTATATATTGTTAATGTAACAAAAGAAAATTTTCACTGTAGTTTGAATGGATAGAGTAATAATAAATGACTAAATTTAGATTATTTGTTTATGTCCTACTTCTGTAATGTTATTTTGAACTCAAATAATAGTGAATGTTAACCCAATTCAAACTCTACTTAATTCAGTAACAGTCTTCTGAATTCAGTGAGGTTTGGATCAGGCTCTTTTGCCAGTGCATAAATAATCCCAGTAGAGAGCTGGTAATTACAGGACTGGGAATCAAAGATCTGAGTCCTCCTCATAGTGTTTATTTGATTTTTTCCCCTGAGTTTTAGCAATACATTAATTTTCCTTGTGATTCATTTTATCTTTAATTTGGGGAGAAATAATAAGCAGGGATCCTGGTTTTCTGTTTAAAAGCTGCAAATTCTTTGATTAACCCCCCGCCATACACACACATTCTCTGATTAAAAAAACCCAAATCTGTGTTTTTCTGTGATTAAAATGAAACACTACTATATGTATGTATGTATGTATGTATGTATCAGTATCAGTTGAACACAATGTTTTATTAATATATTTACAATTTTAAAGCAATTTGGAAGCCAACAGTGCGTCAATCACTGTAATAAAATAAATTCTAAATAGCTATACATTTTGGTGTTTGATTTTGGGTTTCTTATCATGGAAAATCGGAGCTCCCCCTGCTCCCTTCGCTCACCAGGACACAAGTCCAACTGCAGCTGTCCCTCCCCACAACACTGCTTTGTGGCACAGAGCAGCCCTGATATGCCCTGCTCATGTCATTGTCCCTCACTCCCCACCCACAGCCCCCCACCCCCACAGCCCTGCCAGAGAGGGCCCTCCGATGCCAGGGCTATTGGGCCAGGGACCCAGGTCTGCAACTCCCTGCTTCCCCACCCTCCTCCGCAGCAGTGCCTGAGCCCTGGCTGCTGCCCTTGGGTGGGTGGAGGTGGGGGGGCAGGTGCAGGCTGCCTGCTGTGGGTTTGGGCTCCCTGCCCTGCTGCCCTCCCCATGGAGCCTCCATCTGGTGTCAGCAATTTCTTCAGCCATTGGAAGAAAACATGGTCTTGTGTTTTGTAATTCTTAACTGCTGATCTTGGACATTGTTGTAAACCTTTGGCTGTTACAGAGTTATCTGAGCAAACTAAAATGGCTATTGGTTACAGACTAGAAGGATAGAAATATAATATCCTTTATTATAATTGGTTACAAAATAATAATTGACAAATCAATAAAGGCAATATTAAGAGTATATAAAGGCAAATTAACTTTTAGCACACCTGACTTACCTGCAGGGAGCTGCTCTCCAGGCTGCCTGAGAGCCATGTGCATGTGTACATGTATCATGCACATAGCACCCTCTGCCTGACCACCCTCCTCCCACTCCTCCCAGCCCATTGCAGGCTGGAACTCTGCCATTTCACACATTTTTCTCCTTAAAAAGAGAAAACCCGGGTTTTTCTCCTTAAAAAGGGGAAAACTTGGGTTTACTACATTTTTCCATGGTGAGCAGAAAACCCAGATCCCTGATAATGGTATTTGGATATTTGAATCATTCATAAAAATAATTAGTAATTTCTTTAGTATGGCCATGAATTTTAAAAATCAAATACTTTTTCATTGTCACTAACTTTCAGGGGAGATAAAGTTAGTTTCACAGAAGCCATCCCTTTTTGAGGGTATATAGCAATAGCTACAGCTATAGCTGTTTGTTATTTTGGTATGCTAATCAAAATGGTTTAAAATCTAAATAATAAATCATAAAACTCTTCCTTTAGTTTGGAATTAATTGTTCTCTTTATTTATAGTATGAGTTGGATTGAGACAATAAAAGGCCAGAAGACCAGACTGAGACATTTTTAGTATGCAGAATATGTCCAATTAAAACATATTTTGTTTCCAAATAAGAAATACCTTGGCAAAGAAATGTTGTAGAGCCATTTTTATGGTTATCTTTCATACAGCTCAGACAAAGATAGATACTGTTGTGTATTAAATAAACAAGGTATGGTTTATTCAGACTATATTTCTCTCCCGGCTCTGACTATTTCTGTCATATAAAGTAGAGCAAGAACAGTGTTTTTACTGAAGGATAAAATGATTCAGTTACACATGTTGGTTTATGGTTTTTTTTTATTTTGGTTTTGATTTATGTTCCTGGAGAAACATAAATAATATTGGTAGATCACAGTTCGGAAAGCACTTAAGCAAGTTTTTAAATACAGCACTATTAAGGAAATCACTTGCTTAATTTTAAGCATGTGTTTTAAGTTCCATTGTTTTCACTGGGACTTCCATACCTGATTCAACTAAGCAAATGCTCTTCTGTCTTTCTTGAATGTAGAACATTTATTGGACCAGGGCGGTAATAATAATGTATTAATTGAAATATGTAATGAATGGAACCAGTCAGGAATTTTATGAACTGCATTATCATCATATTAAGAGAAAGTATTATTAAAAACATATTTGAACAGGAGGAATTATTTTTTTTAAACACCAGCTTTTGACTGTTTGGAGAAAAATAATATCAGTTTATTTTAATGAACTTGACTTCTGTATCCCTCGTGTCAAGTTGCAGTTTTAGGTTTTTTATTTCACCCAGGTAAGGAACTACATTCATTATTTACTATGTCTTAAAATTGCAGAGCATGGATGCAGTATTGTCTTTTGAAAAAAGAAGCTAGAAGAGATGCAGAGCAGAACATGGCTCTTGCAGCAGTTCACTATAACTCCAGAATAATAAAAGTAATTGTACAGAAATGGAGTGGTTGGGTTCGGTTTCACAAGGAACAAATGGCATGTAAGTCTACAGGCTGCTTTGCATAAACAGAAATAGGACTTGCGTACAGTAAAAATGTAATATTTGGGTAACTGAGAAGCTATATGATTTTTAATTTTTTCATGCATGAAACTCAGTAGTATCTTAACAATACTCACTGGGTTCCAGATTACTTTAAATATTCAAGTAATATTTTCAATGGACTGAATTTGGTGGTGCATATTTCACAGTAGAGAGGGTTTTTTGTGTAAAATATTTTTTCTTAGATTTCTAAGTTTAATGGAAGAGGCATGAGCTTGTTATTTCTTAGGGATATAATTCCAAGATTTAGTGGGAGCAATAGAAAAACTGCATTTAAAGAGTGACATCAACATTCTGATTGCAAAGCTTGTTTAATTTATAATCAGCTATTTTCTATCTTTGTGACTTAAAAAGTCATTGAATTTTTTATAAACATTTAAAAAAATTCTTTTGGGCCTAAGATCAGTTAAACAATTTTAAGGGTCTTAAATTGTTCCATCTGTTGCTTTTAAGACAGTTTTTAGTTTGTTTGTAAATACGTTGATGTAAATTCAGCTTGATCATGTTTTAGAGTATACCTAAAATACAAAAATTTACAATTGTAACCTTTTCTAGTGTGAATATGCTTTATCTATTGATTTCAGTAAGTTGACTTGACTTATGTAACTAAGAGTATTTAGGTTTGGGAATAAAATGCCCAGTTTTGCTCCTAGCTAAAGTAAAACGTTAGTCATTAGTGATATAAACCAAAGATTAGAAGTTGGTTGTTGTATGTTTGTATGGTGCTTTCTGGAATGTAAGCGTGGCAATGCTTTGAAATCCATTGCGAAATATAAAGTAAATGGTGAGATAACAAGCTGTGTATAAACTAAGTGTAAGAGTTATAGGAATCTTTGTTGAACATTAAGTGCTGCCTTTCAAGAAATACATTAATGTGTAATCATGATGACATGCAGACAGAGTGTATCAGGGTACTTACTGTTCCTGTAACTCATAGTTCAGTAAGTCTTCCCAAACTATTTCCATTTTAAAACTAGTTCAGGTTAATAAAACTGGCCTTTTTAAGGTAAAAGTTAAGATCAGGTATCCTGGACCAAGAACTGTTGTATGTGTGTATATGTATGTACACACACACATGCATACTATATATAGGAAAATAAAAACTCTGTTAATAGGAATTAAATTAAAGCCTACATTAAAAAAAAAAAGAAAATACTTTTAAGAACTGATTTCCCCTCTTCTCCTCCTCTCCCTCCCACCCCCGCCAAACCTCCCCTTCCTTTGAGCCTGCATGGGAATCATTAAATGTGAGTGAGTGAGTTATGTTTTGTTCTATTTCATGGAGCCAGGTGTTCCTTTTTTTCACTTTAACAGTTTTTCAAACTTTCTGCTTCAAGGTTGGTAATTTACTGATTTTAGTCAATCTAATTTGCAGATTAATCAAGTCTTCTGCATAGTTATGTTAAAGAAAAGTATTATGGTTGTGTTTTGACTGTTAACTTGGAATATTATTGAATATTTTTAAATGATCCAATACCACAGTGAGAATGATACAATTGATTTAAATTGTAAGAAAAATATAGTTGAATCTGTAGAAATGAAATTCTATAGACAACCATTTAATAATGTATTTAACTGACAGATTCATTGATTTGTAAGTTCTTTGCTTTCATAATTTTTATAAGCAACAATTTTTTTCTCCAGTGGCAGTCAGGAAAATACAATGGGTCTTTAATGTTAAGTTGCTCAGAATTATCTTAAAGGCATGGCATGCAGAAGCGCAAAGTTCCGCAAAAACAAAAGCTTACTTTGAGGTATGTTATATAATATAATATGATATAATATAAATGTTGAATGATTAAAGAGTATCTCTATGAACTGAAGCTGCTGTAAGAAAGCAACCCTATGAATAAAATTTAAATGAGGTGTTTTATTGTGTTATTGGTTTTTAGTACTTATTTGACAGTGATTTGAAAATGCACTCTGTGCCAATGCTTACTCTTATTTAACCATGAAATCATAGTGTTTAAAAACTTTCCTCTTAGACTTGCATGTCTCTAAAAATACATCCTGAGTTCCTTCCATTGTTTCAGTGATATAAACATACAAGAAATGTTTCCATCAGGACTGTGCTTTTCAGTTGTAATTAGAAAGGGGAATTTAATATTTTATTCAACTACGTGGACTAGTTTAAGCTAACTGGTGTAGGAACATGTCAAGGGCACCTGTTTATGCCATAAAAAATCCATTTTGCTTTACAAGCTGGCAGTGTTTCTGTCACTGCATTCTAGATGTTTGTTAGCATTACAGTACATTCCTGTAACATGATCTTTAGAAACTTTAGCCAACATGATGCTGACCAGGACTTAACAGTCATTGTAGTCTGCAAAAATCACGTTCAAGTGCTATGTCAGTTAACAAAAATTAAATCATAACACAATGCTGATGTTGGTTTGTCCCACTTTACATAGCTAACTTGTGGTCACCATCCTGTCAGCTAACATGACTCTTGGCCATCTTATTTAAACATGAATAAACTCTGTAATATTGACACAG